GAAAGACAGTTGTATTAATTCAAGTATGAATACTAGGATATTGTAAGTCCCGTGCCAAAAGGTTTCCATGCCTTTGATCTCGACCACAAACAGTGTATTGCAGCGGTTCTCAACCTGGGGGCCGCTAACCCCCTTTTTTGTTGTTGAGTGGAAGAACTCTTTTACAGGGGTCGCCAAAGTCTATCGTAAAGCACATAATTATTGAGGTTAAGAAGTTGTAACGAAAATAAATGTATGTTTGGGGGTCGCCGGAACACGAGGAACTGCATGAAAGGGTCGCCACAACATAAAGAACTATGTAACAAATGGTCGCGGCATAGGAAGACTGAGAGCCACTGGTATAGTGAACCATTTCTTGTCTTGTATATTTCATCAGATGTAGGGGCATTTCAGTTTCACGATTTCTAATGTGTATTGATGTTAATATAAACTCTGCAGATGTAAGTTAGATCTTTAAAAAGGATGGGCACACAAAAACTCAACTTCTGGAACAATACCAAAGTCCAAATGGGACCGAACAACCAGAGTTTGCAGCCGTTGAACAGAATGAAGAAAAAGATCCTAAAAATTACCAGCGCCGCAATAGCTAGTGGCTTGCTTGCCGACGCGAAAGGTTGCTTTGGATTCGAACCGATACTAAGCAGATTTGAAAAAAAAAAAAAAAAAGGTTTCCTAGTTCGACCAGCTTCACAGTGGTACTGTTAAATCTGTGGTAAAGTAAAGGCGGCCGGCCTCATATTGACTACATCGTCCACCGAGTGCGATAGGTCTATAGAAATGCGAGTCGAGCCTAATGTGCTCAAAGCGTTGCGGGAAAAAAAACCTGCCATTTGCTGCCTGTAGTTACCTCTTTTGCGGTGTTAACAGTGGGGTCTTGGAACCCGAGGGTTTAAGGACGCATGGCTAGTGTTGTCGCCACTCACTGTGCAGGTTAGGCATTTTTTAAAATTGTTTTTGACAATAACAACAACAACAAAATTCCATGAGCAAACAGAAGATATGAATGGAGGCGGGTGATATCTGCAGCAATGAACAAATGGTCGCGGCATAGGAAGACTGAGAGCCACTGGTATAGTGAACCATTTCTTGTCTTGTATATTTCATCAGATGTAGGGGCATTTCAGTTTCACGATTTCTAATGTGTATTGATGTTAATATAAACTCTGCAGTAATGAACTTGAAATGAAACAGCAACATTTACTGTGGAAAGGCTTTGAAAGTTCAGCACGTAGGAAAATCGACGGGTATGTTGAATTTCCGGCCCACCTTGACGCGAGTGGCGTTCTCGTAATGCCTGCTTCCTAAATATTTTGCAGAAAACAGTGGAAATTGGATATTTTGCTCTTTCCGCCAGATAAATCCAACTTTTCGGTTGTTTGTTAACCGTGTTCGAGTCGCAGAGGTAACTAATACTACTATAATTCCCATTGTGGGTTTCGGGGCACCATTGGCGGAGGGGGGGGGGGGGGGGAGGATAAATCCACTGACTTTTCTAAAGTAAGCATGTCGTAAAAGTCTACTTATTAGCGGTGTTGCCTTCAAATTCAGAAGGCATTTGTACGAGAGACCCAACAGTCTGCATGTATGTAAGTTAGATCTTTAAAAAGGATGGGCACACAAAAACTCAACTTCTGGAACAATACCAAAGTCCAAATGGGACCGAACAACCAGAGTTTGCAGCCGTTGAACAGAATGAAGAAGAAGATCCTAAAAATTACCAGCGCCGCAATAGCTAGTGGCTTGCTTGCCGACGCGAAAGGTTGCTTTGGATTCGAACCGATACTAAGCAGATTTGAAAAAAAAAAAAAAAGGTTTCCTAGTTCGACCAGCTTCACAGTGGTACCGTTAAATCTGTGGTAAAGTAAAGGCGGCCGGCCTCATATTGACTACATCGTCCACCGAGTGCGATAGGTCTATAGAAATGCGAGTCGAGCCTAATGTGCTCAAAGCGTTGCGGGAAAAAAAACCTGCCATTTGCTGCCTGTAGTTACCTCTTTTGCGGTGTTAACAGCGGGGTCTTGGAACCCGAGGGTTTAAGGACGCATGGCTAGTGTTGTCGCCACTCACTGTGCAGGTTAGGCATTTTTTAAAATTGTTTTTGACAATAACAACAACAACAAAATTCCATGAGCAAACAGAAGATATGAATGGAGGCGGGTGATATCTGCAGCAATGAACAAATGGTCGCGGCATAGGAAGACTGAGAGCCACTGGTATAGTGAACCATTTCTTGTCTTGTATATTTCATCAGATGTAGGGGCATTTCAGTTTCACGATTTCTAATGTGTATTGATGTTAATATAAACTCTGCAGTAATGAACTTGAAATGAAACAGCAACATTTACTGTGGAAATGCTTTGAAAGTTCAGCACGTAGGAAAATCGACGGGTATGTTGAATTTCCGGCCCACCTTGACGCGAGTGGCGTTCTCGTAATGCCTGCTTCCTAAATATTTTGCAGAAAACAGTGGAAATTGGATATTTTGCTCTTTCCGCCAGATAAATCCAACTTTTCGGTTGTTTGTTAACCGTGTTCGAGTCGCAGAGGTAACTAATACTACTATAATTCCCATTGTGGGTTTCGGGGCACCATTGGCGGAGAAGGGGGGGGGGAGGGGGGGGGGAGGATAAATCCACTGACTTTTCTAAAGTAAGCATGTCGTAAAAGTCTACTTATTAGCGGTGTTGCCTTCAAATTCAGAAGGCATTTGTACGAGAGACCCAACAGTCTGCATGTATGTAAGTTAGATCTTTAAAAAGGATGGGCACACAAAAACTCAACTTCTGGAACAATACCAAAGTCCAAATGGGACCGAACAACCAGAGTTTGCAGCCGTTGAACAGAATGAAGAAAAAGATCCTAAAAATTACCAGCGCCGCAATAGCTAGTGGCTTGCTTGCCGACGCGAAAGGTTGCTTTGGATTCGAACCGATACTAAGCAGATTTGAAAAAAAAAAAAAAAAAGGTTTCCTAGTTCGACCAGCTTCACAGTGGTACTGTTAAATCTGTGGTAAAGTAAAGGCGGCCGGCCTCATATTGACTACATCGTCCACCGAGTGCGATAGGTCTATAGAAATGCGAGTCGAGCCTAATGTGCTCAAAGCGTTGCGGGAAAAAAAACCTGCCATTTGCTGCCTGTAGTTACCTCTTTTGCGGTGTTAACAGTGGGGTCTTGGAACCCGAGGGTTTAAGGACGCATGGCTAGTGTTGTCGCCACTCACTGTGCAGGTTAGGCATTTTTTAAAATTGTTTTTGACAATAACAACAACAACAAAATTCCATGAGCAAACAGAAGATATGAATGGAGGCGGGTGATATCTGCAGCAATGAACAAATGGTCGCGGCATAGGAAGACTGAGAGCCACTGGTATAGTGAACCATTTCTTGTCTTGTATATTTCATCAGATGTAGGGGCATTTCAGTTTCACGATTTCTAATGTGTATTGATGTTAATATAAACTCTGCAGTAATGAACTTGAAATGAAACAGCAACATTTACTGTGGAAAGGCTTTGAAAGTTCAGCACGTAGGAAAATCGACGGGTATGTTGAATTTCCGGCCCACCTTGACGCGAGTGGCGTTCTCGTAATGCCTGCTTCCTAAATATTTTGCAGAAAACAGTGGAAATTGGATATTTTGCTCTTTCCGCCAGATAAATCCAACTTTTCGGTTGTTTGTTAACCGTGTTCGAGTCGCAGAGGTAACTAATACTACTATAATTCCCATTGTGGGTTTCGGGGCACCATTGGCGGAGAAGGGGGGGGGGAGGGGGGGGGGAGGATAAATCCACTGACTTTTCTAAAGTAAGCATGTCGTAAAAGTCTACTTATTAGCGGTGTTGCCTTCAAATTCAGAAGGCATTTGTACGAGAGACCCAACAGTCTGCATGTATGTAAGTTAGATCTTTAAAAAGGATGGGCACACAAAAACTCAACTTCTGGAACAATACCAAAGTCCAAATGGGACCGAACAACCAGAGTTTGCAGCCGTTGAACAGAATGAAGAAGAAGATCCTAAAAATTACCAGCGCCGCAATAGCTAGTGGCTTGCTTGCCGACGCGAAAGGTTGCTTTGGATTCGAACCGATACTAAGCAGATTTGAAAAAAAAAAAAAAAAGGTTTCCTAGTTCGACCAGCTTCACAGTGGTACCGTTAAATCTGTGGTAAAGTAAAGGCGGCCGGCCTCATATTGACTACATCGTCCACCGAGTGCGATAGGTCTATAGAAATGCGAGTCGAGCCTAATGTGCTCAAAGCGTTGCGGGAAAAAAAACCTGCCATTTGCTGCCTGTAGTTACCTCTTTTGCGGTGTTAACAGTGGGGTCTTGGAACCCGAGGGTTTAAGGACGCATGGCTAGTGTTGTCGCCACTCACTGTGCAGGTTAGGCATTTTTTAAAATTGTTTTTGACAATAACAACAACAACAAAATTCCATGAGCAAACAGAAGATATGAATGGAGGCGGGTGATATCTGCAGCAATGAACCTCAAGGGCTCTGAATGCCAAAGAAGAAGAGGAACAGAGGACTCGAAGCTGGGTGCCCCGCAAGAGAGCCCAGCGTTCTTAACTGTTCGACCAGCCGGTACTCTCTTAGAGCAACTGGTATGAAATGAATACTCTACTTTACTTTATCTACTCTACTTTATCTACTTTACTTTATTTACCTTACTTGACTTATTACCCTGGGAGCTGCTGTGATTTAGCGATTAGACGCTCACCCGCGTGTCCTGAGTTCGTGAGGTTCGGTCTTGACCTAGCCTAACTTTTTTCAAAATTGACTGTGACTGTTGAGTCGTCCCAGCTATAAATGCATGCCGGGTAAGTTAATGAGAAGTAAAGACAACCGGCATGGCGCTGATCGCATCACCCACAAAGTGACGAAAGGTCTATAAAATATAGGTCTAGCCCTTTATGCCCAAAAGGAGTTTAAAAGGGCCATCTACTTACTTTACTTACTTATTATCTAAGTGTCTTCCGATTCTCGTTGTCCTGGTGGTTATTTATTTCATTGCAGTGCCTGCTGCAGAGTCGATTTCGTCTCTCTCTGCTGCCGATCCTCTCAGAGACAGCTGCTTGATTCTGTAGAGTAATTGGCTGTACATAGTGTCACTTTCTCCTCTGCTTTGTTCGTGCCTGGCTCCCTGGTTTCTCTGTGGCAGAGACATTTAAGGTCAGCGGCGCCGACATAAAGATCACACGGAAAAAAAGGGGGGGGGGGTGCATGGACTCAGCCGTTCTGCAAATCGCCTATGACTTGTTCAAGCGATTAATAATAATATTCATAATAATAATAATTATGTGCTGTATGGCAATTCTGTCAGCGTTGGTGTCTTAGGCTTTGCGAACGCAAAGGTCGTGTCAGGTTCGATCCAAATTGCAGACGATTTGGCAACAGACCGTTTTGCGATGCTCTCGACAGTGGTACCGAGAGCTGGCTGTTTTAAAAACAACAACAGAACAACTGAACTTAAATTATGCCTAGAAAAACAGCTGAGGTATGTTGACTATGCTGAATGTTATGATGCCATGGAGAGAACGGCGATGGACGGCGCAGTTTCCTGGAAACGAGATGGATACAAGACATTGAAGACGCATTGGCTATGAAAGCACATAGGGCTGGAGATTTGGCTAGAGAAAGAAAAGCGTTCAGGCGTGCCGTGACGAGAGCCGCGTTCTGTAAACGACTTGCTGATTATTGATGATGATGATAAATACAAACTAAGATAACTCTACGCATGGCTGGGGGAAAAAAAGGGGGGGGGGGTAGGGGTAGATTAGCCCCATAAACATTTTGTTGTTGTTGGATGGGTGGAGGTCCTCAGTGTGACCCTCATGTCGCTTGCTGCTATTCCATGGATAAAAAGGACCCTTTCCCGCGCCTCTAAACTCATTGGGAATATAGGGCTAGACCTGTATTTTATAGACCAGTCAGTACTTGGTGGGTCATGGATTCACGCCGGTCGACTTTACTTCCCGGGGCTGAACCTGGTACCCCCCCCCCCCCCAACCCAAGGCTGGGTCGACCGAGGAGTCAAAGTCATTTTTGAAAAGAAAGTCCAGCTCAGTGAGGACGCGAACACACAACCTTCCGATCTGCAGGCGGGCGACTAGCCTCCAACGCCACGGCGACTCCCATTCCATGGATTTAAAAAAAAAAAGTAGGAGAGAAAAGGGCAGACAGCGGTGAAACTGGAATGAAGTGGTAACAACCAAAGAAAGAACAAACAGCTAGTTGTCAGTGGAAGTTTATAGACAGTGCAAAAGGAAGGTTTGTGGTTTTGAACTTTTTTAACAACGATCAACCATCATGGCACACGGGTAGTAACCCATAAGTGCTCCGTTATTCTTCTAACTAAAATCTGAGTCCGAAGAAGCTCAGCACAGTGCACAGGCTCTGTAGCACAGGCGAGGTTTTTGAAATGCTTTGGGTAGATTTGTCTCAAAATTTTGCCCAGGCTGCGCCGTTAGGCTACTCTTTTGGATTTCCAACTGCCAAGGGATTTTTTTTACGTGCGCAACAATGCACACGGGCGTCCGATCTCACTACCCAGAGATCAGGGTGAATTACTAGAAGTCTAAGTCCAAGTGAAAAAATCCGAGCTCTTACCGGGGATTGAACCCGGAATCTCTAATACTCGAGGCGGACACCATGCCGCGAGACCACGCAGCTCCCTTGTGCAAGAGGAAGAGCGTGTTGATTCATGGTTTCTAGCGATTTTTGTCTAGAAAGAAAAGGTGCCATTACAGACACACACACACACACACACACACAAATGTCTAAAAAAAGGTGCCGGTACTCACCACAAAGGTTCTAAAAGGTGCCAGTACTCACCACCAGGAGTCTATTACAACAAGGCTTTAAAAAATGATGCCTTAACGAAAAGGTGAAATCGCAGCGTACCGACATAAAATGGTTGCATCCAACCTGATAGATTCACCGGCTATTCAACGCTTGGTTCATTACTCCCAGCTTGACATTGCGCTGGGAGTCAGTTGTTGTTGTTGTTGTTGTTCAGTATAGTTTCGTTACAGAGACATTCTCAAACTCATCCATTCTAGACTGTGAATTTATTTCGTAACCAATTTGTGTTGCCCCTCTTAAACTGTGCTATATTAGGGGCTGCGTGGTCTCGAGGCATGGCATCCGCCTTGAGTACTGGAGATCCCGGGTTCAAGCCCAGGTGAAGGCTGGCATTTTTTAGCCTGGAATTCTAGTAATTTCTTCTAGTTTCTGGGTAGTAAGATCGGACGCCCGTAGTATTTTAAAAAAAAAAAATCCCTTGGCAGTTGGAAATCGAAAAAAAAGTTGCCTAATGCCGCTGCCCAGGCAAAATTTCCAGTTAACTCAAATTATGTCAGGATCTTCGCCGGTGTTACGACGTTCGTGCACTGCTCTGAGATTCTTCGGACTCAGGCTTGAGTTGAAAGTAGAATATAGCACTTATGGGTTTCTACTCTTGTGTCCTAAACTCTAAACCTGAACCTAAACTGTACTATATGGCTGTTAGAGAGCATTTTCAAAGGTTTTGAGGGAAGACTTCTCAGAAGAGTGTTAGGGTTCACATGGAAAGATACAATCAGCAATTCTAGATTACGAAAAATGACAGACTTAGAAGATGTAAATTTAGAAATCAAAAATCGAAGATGTAGGTGGATTGGACACGTCCTCGGAATGAAGAAAGAGAGACGACCGAGACAAGTAATACAATGGACACCACAAGGACAGCGAGGAAGGGCAGACCCAGAGGCACTTTGAGGCGAACCCTTGATGCTGAACTCAAGACAACGCAAAGGACAAAACGAGAGATAGGATGGCTCAGGATCGAACTGAATGCGAACAGTTTGTCTCTGCTTTATGTGCCTCTGGGCGAGATGAGGATTGATTGATTGTTGAAGCTGTGAGGTTGAACAGGTTTTTTTGGGTAGTGCGCATCTTTTACTGTCATCCTTCAGAGGTTGACTCAACAGATTATTCCTGGAAGTGACGAAACCTTAAAAAACAATTACTATTATCAGTATCAGTTGGTCAGTAGAAATTTCGGTCTATTACAAAATAAAGAGATGAACGGGCAGCAGTCTGAGAGAGAGAGAGAGAGAGAGAGAGAGAGAGAGAGAGAGAGAGAGAGAGAGAGAGAGAGAGAGAGAGAGAGAGTACAACCAGGATCATTTGCAGCCAACCTTCATTGTGGAGACGGTACCTGATTGACTAATAATAACCAAAGGGAAAAGCTACAGAGAGATCAATAGGGGACAGAATAGGGGACGGAAGAGGGGACAGAGAAGAATATGGATCAAAGGGGTAAGATTGCTACTTTACTGTAGGCAGACTGTGAAATGAATAGTGTTAAAATAAGACTGTCTGGTACATAAAGAGTCAAGTACGGTACTTTACCTTTGAAATAAAAGTAATATCATAGTTGTCATTTCAGCTAATTATACCCATAGTATTATTGTAATTTGTTTTAACTCAAAGACTGCTGATTTAAAGTACATATACTTTGAAATGAATAGTGTGAAAGTAAAACTGTCTGCCACACACACACACACACACACACACACACACACAAAAGAAATAATAAAAACGTGATATATTAAAAAGAAAACCGAATGATGTGGCTAGTAGTTGTACGTGTGGAGAATAGGCATCATTTTAGGCCAAACAATTTCTTGAGGCCTCAGAGATGTGGTTTTTTTTACAGAAGAATGCTTAGAATACCTTGGACAGCCAACAAGAGCAACCAAGAGGTTTTGAAAGAGGCAGGAGCCCGAAGACAACTAATCACAGACATCAGAAAGAGACAGTCATCATTTTCGGCCATGTTATGAGAAGAGGGGAAAATAGAACGTGTTGTGACCACTGGAAAGATCTGTGGAAGGAGGAACAGAGGAAGATAAGGAGAGAATATGCTTGACAGTCTTGTTGCATGGCATGGAGGTGTGTCAGCACACGAACTAATACATGATGCAGGAGATCGCAGACTGTGAAGAGGCATGATCGCCCACGCCAGTTGCAAGGCACCTGATAAGGATGATATATATATATATATATATATATATATATATATATATATATATATATATATATATATATACACACACACACACACACACACACACACACACACACACAAATTTTTTAGATACATCAGAGTAAATTAAAAAGATACAAAACTTCTGTTAAAATACTCAAATCGTATAGATATTGTAGATAAGATCGGCTTAAATACTTATTGAATATTAATATTGTAAGACAAAATGAAAAAGTTAAATTGAAAGTTGAAAAGGTTAACAGAAAAAAAAAAAAAAAAAAAGAAATTTCAAGGTTTCAGACTGTTACGAAATTCAAATTTAGACAAATTTTTCAAAGTTCAAAAAGTGTTACACAGTTATGACAGTTTTTTTTTTTTTTTTTAAACAAAGATTTTAAAGCTTTTTTTTTTTTTTTTTTCATTTCCAAGTTTTTGAAAATTTAAAGTTTGAAAAAGAAATTTTCTTTAAGTTGAAAAATAAAAGCTCTCATGACGTAGCAACTGGCATTGAAGGGAAAAGAGGTTGTCGGATGGAGATAAAAAAAATACGTGATGAGCTAAGGGATGTATCCAGGAATTAAATGTCGTTATGAAAAGCCGTAATGTCATTTACGCTATCAAGTGCACAGAGATGTGGCGAAAAATACATCGGTGAAACGGGTTTACGACTGGCTGACAGACTCAAACAACATCTTTTGGATGTGCAGAACGGTGCCCTGAAACTTCCATTGCATTTCAATTCTCAGGACCACCAAGGTGTCCACGACATAGATGTGACAGCCATTAAATCTAGCCACTCCAACGACAGAGTTCGCTAGTCTCTTGAAAATCGCTTTATATACACTTAGGGAACACTGGCGCCCAGTGGACTGAACTGCCAACACAGCTTCAAGTATCCTAGGGGACTGAACTGCCTACGCAGTTTCAATTTGTTCTCGAATTCCTTAATCTCGCATTCCCCTGGAAATTTATTTTCCTGGTCCATCGGGTCTCGCCAGTCTTTTTGCTAGACATCAACCTGGCTGCTTCGAGATACTAAGATAAGTAATATTGTGTATTTATGTGGAATTGTCTAATTTGTATGTGTGTGCTGATGAAGGCTCCATAACCGCAACATTCACGTTTGTTTGTAATTGTTATATTGTGAAGCTCGCTACATAGTTATATTCCTGCATTAAAGAACAATTCGTACATGATAAAATTAGATGTTTGGGCAGACAACGTCATTATGAGTCAGGACCTCAGATGGAAACTCCCATTTAGTTCTCGGACAGTGGGACCCACTGGCCGCAGTAAAAATTTATTTGTGCAAACAAAATTCAAAACATTGTCCAGGCATGTTCGACTTTGATCCCGATAGGATTATTTGATGCTACGAGGACAAGCAATCCATGTCTGACAACATGCAGGGCGTCGTCTTTAACAATATCTTCTTGATATGGAACAATGACACGGGAATACGCGATGTCTAGTTATCATAAACGATATCATGTCCGAGACGGACGACAGATTTATCAAAATGTTTTTTACAGGCAGTCACCACTGCAACATCATAGTTATGTGCATTGTTAAAAGCGTGCCCTGAGCCATCGACAAAATGCCGGGTTTAAAAAAAATTTTTTTTTTATTTCTGCATCTGCATTTGTCCGAGCCACAAGATTATTTCTAAAGAGATACCTACCTCCTCACATATAACTAACTACTGTGGCTTCCGTTATTATAAACCCCAAACATTCACTAGTTCAATTGATTTTCGACAGACAACGAATGGAAACTTCCACAAACACAAAGGATGTAAAAAAAAAAAAAAAGTTGAAAACACATACCTTGTCACTCTCCAGGTCACGGCGCCGTGATGTGCACTGCTAAAACATGGTAACTTTAATTTCTACCTCTTTACATTTGTGACTATTATAAAACTAATGTTATCAACGAAAGTTAGGATTGTCCACCACACGTCCAGCTGAACTTTTCGAATTAACTGTAGTGCTTAGTTCTGTTATTATACATAATCATTATCAGGTGCCTTGCCGACGGCGTGGGAATCATGCCTGTTCACAATCCACGTTCTCCTGCAACAAGACTGTCAAGCATCTTCTCTCGTTGTCTTCCTCTATACCTCCTTCCACAGATCTTTCCAGTGGTCACAACATGTTCAATATTCCCTCTTCTCATGACATGGCCGAACAATTATAATGATGACTGTTTCCTTCTGATGTCTGTGATAAGTTTTCTTGAAGCTCGCGCCTCTCAAAACTTTTTGGTTGCTCTTTTTGAGGTCAACGGTATTTTAATCATTCTTCTAAAAATCCAAATCTCTGAGGCCTCAAGAAATTGTTTGGCCTGCCTACCGATTGTCAACAACTCATAACAATATGTTAAAACTCTTTTTCTTCTCATAATTATTCGAAGTAAAATCTTAGTCATGTAACTCATAAAATTGATTGTAGGACGGTCTTTACATTTTAAAGTGGCTGGTTTCTTTGGCAGAGCTATAAATATGGATTTTAAAAGGTCGTTTGGAACATACCCACTATTATATGTGTCATGTATAATATAATACATATTGTGGCTATTTTAGCAGGATAAAATCTGTGTGGTCGTAAACCTGTCTCTTCAGCCCTTGATTATTTGTCAATAAATTTCCGTCATCGCTACAGAATAAGCCCGATTAACGTTTCACCAGTCACCAAGGAAGACAATAGGGGCTTTTGAGCCAAAATGTTATAACAATTATTTTCACAATACAACGGACCAAAAAACCTAAAAGATCTGAACATCAAATTAGACTTGCTAGTAAATAGCATAGTGTCTCAGAAACTGAAAGATCTATTCTGGTCACATCAAGTGCCACAGGAAACTTGGGGAAAACGTAATAGTAGAAGGTATTGTGGCAAAAGAGGGGCATAGCCCAACCGCCACGAAAATGTTCACGAGGTTTAATAAACCGACTACACCCTAACAAGCATGTCGTCAGTGGCGAATAATTATAGGTATTTCTTTCGTAGTCGAAGTGCTTCTGTCTGAGAGGCGAGGAACCAGCCAGAGGTGCACAACTTAAGTTCTAGAACAAGACCAAAGTCCAGATGTGCACGAACAACCAGAATTTTCTGCTAGAGTTTACAGCCGGTGAGCGCTGAGGGATAAAAAATAATTAATGACATTTGGCTCGGTCTTCGTTTAGAGCCAGCTGTCTGCTGATATCGTCGTTCAAGAACACAAGCTCTGCGGCTCCAGCGCCGACCCCAGGGATTTCCATACAAATTGTAGGGATGATCCGCATTACACAGTCCGTCAAAAGGGCTCACCACCCTCAGAGGGCGAGACGAACGTCTTTATCATCCAACCATGGAGACCCTGCTACTGTTTTGTCAGCAAGACACGAATTATCACAGTTCCTTTTCAAATATATGATTATAAAGTGACTTCCCCTCTCTAGCTCTTGAACAAATAAACGGTCACACCTAAGATTGCTATGTTTTGATATTTGAAAATGAGCACACTTCGCCTAACTTTAAACTCCATTTAGATTGTGTTCCACAAATATTCTTTTTTACTACCTAATCTTTTTTAGAATATCTTTCCTTTGGATCAAATGTCCGTACAATTAGGGGCTGCGTGGTCTAGAGGTATGGTGTCCGCCTCAAGTGCTGGAGGTTCCGGGTTCAATCCCCGGCAAAGGCTGGGATTGTTTCACTTGGACTTAGACCTCTAGTAATTCTCTCCTCTTCCCTCCCCCCATGCCACCGTGCCTCTAGGTAGTGAGATCGGAGGCCCGTGTGCAGGTAAAAAAAATCCCTTGGCAGTTGGAAATCGCAAAGAGTAGCCTAACGGCGCTGCCGAGGCAGAGTTTGGAGTTTAAAATCTACCCAACATATTTCAGAATCCTCGCTGGAGCTACAGAGCTTGTGCACTGTGCTGAGCTTCTTCGGACCCAGACTTGAGTTAGAAGAAGAACAGAGATGTTGATCCGTTGTTCAAACTTCAAACAATTGCCTGCATATGAAATGTTTCAAATTAAATTTTTCAAGTAACATTGGCATGACTGATTTTGCACTAAGACCATGTTTCTAATTGGGCTGTTGGGCGTGGATCAAAACAAATATCCCCCCCCCCCCCCGTGGCTCCCAGGTTGCCCAAGCCTTGAGTGGGTATCAGGTAAAGTCCTGGGAAGAAAAAGCGGCCGGTGTGCAGACCACATCACCCACCAAGTGCTGATTGGTCTATAAAATATAGGTCCAGCCATATTTGCATAGTACACCTTATAGCCTAGAAAAGGGTCCTTTTCGGCACTGTCAAATGATCTTAGAGGTAAAGGTGACAAAAGTGATATTGACCACATTACCATTGGTCTCAACAACAAAAATTGAGTTAACAATGAATGTCTAATGTGACTTAAGCGAAGAAACGAGACAATTATTTACTAAGTGTCTCTGCGATTCATTTTTGGCAATTAAGTTCCAGAATCTTCGATTGAAAGCGAACCAGTGCAAAGTGCTTTATAGCAATGTTACCAGTCATAGAAACTTACCCACAAAAATTCTAAGGTGAAATGGTGGTTTTTAGCCCAGGGCAGGAGGGGACAAAGAATAGTAGGAATTAGAGTGAGTTTGCTGAGGCCTTATTCTTATATTCCTGACTTAGAATAGATGATGAGAAGAAGAAGAAAAAGAAGAAGAAGAGGAGTAGGAGGGGAGGAGAAGGACTAAAAACTAATATGATAGATACCCCTTTACTACAATACACATTGATCAACGAAAAAATAATGTCAGGACTTTAGCTGATTCTAGACACCCAGACATACGTCATATAACAAATGCTAAAAAAATTATATTGTTATTAATATTACTACTACTACTATTATCACAAAGGTAGGCCCGAAAACCCTACTTAACCCCACCCTCTCCCCTCATCTGACGTATCTGGCAATTGATGCTCCCACCCTCCTTCCCCCCATCCCATATTTGCATAGACTAATGGACACCCAATGAGTGATGTGGTCAGTATTCACACCAATTACCACCAATACTCACAAGAGCTTCTGTGCTATCAAAAGTGTCTGTATTAAATACCTTTTCATTGACGAAGCGCAAGACGCACAGCAAGTCCTGAAATCAAACATTAAGAGGCCGGCATGTTACTGCCATACATGGGAAACAAGCAATGCACATTCAAGATACGACCCTGACGTTTGGAGACCAGTGGTTGTGATAGAGAATATACTATCTTTACAGCTAGCAGCCGACACCATAATCCCCTAAACTTTTCTTAGTTGCGGCGCCTTTTTTCAGTAAAATTTTTCCCACGGCGCCCTAACCTAAGTAAAAGTAAGACTATTCGTATGTAAGAGTATCTTCGAATATTTCGCGGCGCCCCTGTGAAGAGTCGCGGCTCCGCGGGGCGCCGCGGCGCACAGTTTAGAAATCACTGCCGTAATCTAAATACTACGTGAACAGGCTGCAGTACTTTAGTAGTCGTTGATTAAAATAAGGTGCCGTTTATATTCGAGATACTTCCGGTCCAATATGGACGACTAGTCACTGTAGAATATATAGCTTCGAAGCTATGTTTGCTTCCGACAGCGCTTTGCTGATAAAGTTTCCCCAAATGGGCGAAAGTCTACGGTTTCATTGCCTGAGCTTCTGCGTTTAGTGCAGCACTATGAGCTGTGTTTTTTCTATGCGGAATGCTTTTTTATTTGTGCAGCGGTTAAGTCGTGGTATTCATTATGGCCTGGTTTACGTGTGAGCTGGTGAAATACCGAGTGTAATAATTTTACGTGTGTAAAACCAGCTAATCGTGTGATTAGTGATTAGAAAGGATTATTTTCACAGCACTCTGAACAAATCCCTAAGTGGTCCGATCTCCTCCTCAAAAGTTCCACAAGTGTAAAACGACTGATGACGCGTTTTTTTTTGCTTATCGCGTCCAACTACTTATGCATTTACAGCATGCACATATTCCTGGATTGTGCCGGAACTGATTGTTCGTCGCAATGTTTTTCAAACAGGACAGTGAGGGCCATTTTATTTGATTCTCAGTAGCACCGGAACGGAGCGAGTATGAAGTGATCCGATTGCAGCTAAAGTAAAACCAAGACTTTGACTTAGCCTAATATTCGAGACATTAGGCATACATGTAAGGTGTACAAAATATATTAATAAACAGGAGTTTCATCTGCGTTCCTAATGCTGTCGCTATGTGTCGTCTGTAACTTCAAAACATGTCTTTGAAACCAGTTTCTCCTGGAAGGTGTTGGCAAGTCGCCGTGCCACTGTTAGCCACCGCCTTATCAGGAGGTCGTGATGTATCTTTAAGCGCCTTTTAAGTTAGTAGCCTATCCTTTATAGGACGTTGCAGAACCAACACCAGCATTTTTGGCTGTTGTGGTTTTTCCAGGCAAATTTACCTCCAGTAGTTTACTATTTCTTTCAGATCGGTCGGCTTTTCGATACCACTGTCGAAACTAAAGCAAAGCCGGCAGCAAGGATCGAACCCGGCACCCCGGCTTTATGAAGCTCGTTCGCTATGCCTAAGCCACAGACGCTGACTATAAGCGTCTTGTCCAGCCATAACCAGCTTTAAATTCACTTGCACATAGCACACTTGCAACTTAAATTCACAGTTGTAACTTGCTCTTACGCGGCCCGTCATTCACTGCTTGCTGGTACTACTGTTTAGGTTTTGGTCTCTTAATGAAATTCTAGAAAAATAAATTTTCTTGAAATTATCAGTCCAGAAACTGAGGGCGGCACATTCACGCGTAATTAAACTACATAGGAATATGCCTCATGTTGCGCGTGACCTGGCCTCATGTTGCGCGTGACCAGGTTAACATTTTCAGTTGCAAACGATGACAAATATTGCTGTAATATATTCCAAGGGACTTGAAGGCATTACACACTTGGGGTTGGAGGAGTTGAACATATAGACTATGTCACATATGTGAAGCGAAGTATATGCGTATTGAGCATTTAGGGATAGATCTATATTTTACAGACAAATCGACACTGAATGGGTGATGTGTTCAGAATCGCACTGCGGCCTTTACTTTCTAGAACTATCCATGATACCCACTCAAGGGTGGTTCAACCTGAAAGCCAAGGTCGTTTTTGAAGGGGAAAAAAGGTTGAAAAATACTGAAGAAGTGGCAACAATAATATTGTAAACACTAAAACAGTGATAAAGCACTCTTTTCTTGTGTATTTCGGACTTCCTCGAGTGAGCTAATAACTCATTCTGATGCTGAACCACAGTGTTAATGTACTTGAGTGTGTGTGTTTTTTTTTTTTTTTTTTACAATGTGCTGTGTCACAGCATTTTTAATTTATGGAAATTATCAGGCTCAGCGAGTGGGAGGAGAATATGAGCGAGTACAATTAAGTACATGTGTCCAGACCTGATACCGTAGTCCTTGAGAAATCAGCCATGCCCAGCATCCACACTCTACTGATGCAGTATCAAATTCGCTGGGCAGGTCATGTGGCACGCATGCCAGATCACAAGCTTCCAAAAAACTCTTCTGTATGATGAGCTGCAAAATGGGAACCGTTCCCAATGCGGGCAAAAAAAAACGCTTTAATTACACCTTGAGGTCTTCACTCAAAGCACTTGGGATGAATGACACCAATTGGGAGGCTGCCTCTGAAGACCATAATGCAAGGCGTGCAACTCTACACAAGGGCGCGGCTACATGTGAAGCAAACAGAACAGCAAGACTGATTAAGAAAAAAAGATGGACAGAAAGGCGACAGCAGGAGATCCCCTCCCTGGCACAACACTCATTCCCTGTCCTCACGGTCCAAGAACTTTTCGGGCCCGCACCGGACTCATCAGTCATCTTTCTACTCGTACTTGATGAAAAAGAGTTATCATCATCTTGATGGACAACACACACACATGTGTCCGGACAAGGAGAATCATTTTCGAGAAACGCAGAGATAGATACAATCTTCAAAGATCACAGCAAGGTTTAGACTGTGCATATACTGAAATACATGGGATTCCCAAGACGCTTGGTTCATCTAATGGAATCTCTTTACCATGAAAAACAAGCTGCAGTCAGAACAGTCGGTGAAAGATCGGAGTGGTTTCAGGTGTAGAGAGAGTAAGACAGAGCTGCATTCTCTCTCTCTCTCTCTCTCTCTCTCTCTCTCTCTCTCTCTCTCTCTCTCTCTCTCTCTCTCTCTCTCTCTCCCTCCATCCCATTTTAATTTGTTTGCTGAAAATATTATGAGAATTGCAATTAGTGAAAAGGCGTGTGATAGCTTCGATCCGCTCAAAGTTGAAGGTAGACATATCCCAGAACTTAGCCATGCAGACGACACTGTTCTCCTTTCTAAAAGCGTACAAGGCTTAGAAATAATATTTTTTTGCTGCCAAGAAAGCCATGTGAAGGAAATAGATTAATTAAAAAAAAAAAAAAAAATACTCCACACTGAACACAGCACACCAACCACAGATTAGAATCGACAACAAAGATCGTGAAATCGGAAAAGAGATGTTTTAGCAATGATGAAGCTACACAGCATAAAGAACCTATAGCAAAGAACCTGCAAGCAAGTTAAAGTGAACATTGAGATCATACATCTTTCCCGTGGCAACTTGTGGATGTCTTCTTATTCTTCTTCTTCTTCTCGTTCACCAGCTGTACACTCTGGCGTAAAGTTCTGGTTGTTCGTCCACTTCTGGACTGCAGTCCTGCTCCAGAACCTGAGTGTTGGGTGTGCATCAGTTTTACAGATCTGATTCAATTGAATGTAGACTGCTGGTTCCTCGCCTCTCAGGCAGATGCACTCCGACTTCAAAGGAAGCTCCCCAGTTAGTCGACTCTTACGACATGCTTTTAAGGAGACAGTGGGTCTATTCTTGTTTTCCCCACAATAGGCCCCCGGAACCCACACGGGGGGCTTGTGGATGTGAATCATGGACTTTCTCTCAGCCTTTGAGGAAGAAAATCTGAGCCTTTAAACTGAAATGCTACAGAAATGTTCTAAGAATACCGTGGACCAGTAAGAGGAAGAAGAAAAAAGCTGGCATCCGGCATGACCTGAGCTTTGAGGAGAATTGGCTCGGAAACAGCATCCTCTCCCAAAAGCTGGGGTATTTTCGACATGTCAAGCGACACGGTGTTCTGTAGAGAACAGTGATGGGGGGGGGGGGGGGGGGGTTCTGTAGAGAACAGTGATGGGGGGGGGGGGGGGGGTTTTAGAGAACAGTGATGGGGGGTGCAGTTTCTGGAAAACGAGGCTGAGGTCAACCTCCTCGAATGTGGATGCAGGACAATGAATATGCAATGACTATGAAAGCAGATAGGGCTGGAGAATTGGCTGGAGAACGAAAGACTTTCAGGCATGACGTGAAAAGAGCGATGTTCTGTAGAGGGCATCCTTATCCATGTGTGGGTTCCGAGGCCCTATTATAGGGAAAACAAAAAACAGACCCACTGCCTTCTCAAAAGCATGTCGTAAGCGTCGACTAATTTGGAGCTTCCTTTAAAGTCAGAGTGCATCTGCCTGAGAGGCAAGGTACCAGCAGTCTGCAAACAATGAGTCAGATCTGTGAAACGGATGCACACGCAACACTCAGGTTCAGCAACAGGACTGCAGTCCAGAAGTGGACGAACAACCATAACTTTCCGCCAGAGTTTACAGTTGGTGAACACGAAAAAGAAACAGAAGAAGTTTGAAGGACAACCTGAGTGATTTATTGATTGTCAGGACAAGTTGAAAAACCTTTATAGACACATTTCCTGACGTTGGCATCCACCTCTCACACCCTGGCAATAGTTAACACAATTAATAATAATAATAATAATAATAATATAACAATTCCAACAAGGGAGACAAGGTGTGTGGAGAGAGTTTCAGGAACTATCTACCTTAGCGCTGTCTGCAATCCATTGTTCGAAGGAACGCCACGTAGGGTAAAGAGCGTATGTGGTGGTACGATCCCACTGTGGCAGAGTCTGGTAGTGCCCAAACATGGAGGTCAGCTCATTTTTTTCTGACAGTTTCAGTGTTCTATAGTCATCCAGCGTTATCTAGTTCCACACAGAGTCGAATTAGCAAAATTGCTGAAAAATCACCATTACCATCGTCGTCATCATCGTCGTCGTCGTCGTCGTCGTCGTCATCATCATCGTCGTCACCATCGTCGTCGTCATCATCGTCGTCATCATCGTCGTCGTCATCATTATCGTCGTCGTCATCATCGTCGTCATCATCGTCGTCATCATCGTCGTCATCATCGTCGTTATCATCGTCGTCATCATCGTCGTCGTCACCATCGTCGTCACCATCGTCGTCGTCATCATCGTCGTCACCATCGTCGTCGTCATCATCGTCGACATAATAGTCGTCGTCATCATCGTCGTCATCATCGTCGTCATCATCGTCGTCACTATCGTCGTCACCATCGTCGTCATCATCGTCGTCACCATCGTCGTCATCATCGTCGTCACCATCGTCGTCATCATCGTCTTCCTAACGTTCACCGGCTGTAGCTTCCGGTGTAATGTTCTGGTCGTTCGTCCACTTTTGTCCTGTTTCAGAACTTGAGTTTTGCTTGCACACCCGTTTTACAGATCTTTTTATTGTTATGCAGACTACTAGCTAATTCACTAAAAAGTAATATAGACAAAGCGAACAGAAGGGTCCGCTCCAGAGATCTGTTCTTGCCCCGACGTTGCGAGGCATTCCAGAAGAAGGTAAAATAAGAAGTAGAAGATGTAACAATATATGTTAAAAAAAAAATATATGAGACACAAAAACCAATACTAAAAAAAGCTACTGTACATGGTTAGGGCGTCTCAAAAAAAAAGTTATCATACATAAATAAATAAATTGCGTCTTTACCCCAGGTTCCGGTGCCTTTGCCTCTTTGTCTCTGTGGCGTCTTATGTCTCACTGTGTCCCATTCTTTGTCTCTGTGGCGCCTTAAGTCTCCCTCTGTCCCATTCTCTGTCTCTGTAGCGCCTTATGTCTCACTCTGTCCCATTCTCTGTCTCTGTGGTGTCTTATGTCTCACTCTGTCCCATTCTCTGTCTCTGTGGCGCTTATGCCTCACTGTGTCCCATTCTCTGTCTCTGTGGCGCTTATACCTCACTGTGTCCCATTCTCTGTCTCTGTGGCGCTTTATGTCTCACTGTGTCCCATTCTCTGTCTCTGTGGCGTTTATGCCTCACTGTGTCCCATTCTCTGTCTCTGTGGCGCTTTATGTCTCACTGTGTCCCATTCTCTGTCTCTGTGGCGCCATATGTCTCACTGTGTCCCATTCTCTGTCTCTGTGGCGCCTTATGTCTCAATGTGTCTCATTCTATGTCTCTGTGGCGCTTATGTCTCACTGTGTACCATTCTCTGTCTCTGTGGCGCTTATGTCTCATGTGTCCCTTTCTCTGTCTCTGTGCCCCCTTATGTCTCACTGTGTCCTATTCTCTGTCTCTGTAGCGCCTTATGTCTCACTGTCCCATTCTCTGTCTCTGTAGCGCCTTATGTCTCACTCTGTCCCATTCTCTGTCTCTGTACCGCCTTATGTCTCACTCTGTCCCATTCTCTGTCTCTGTGGCGCCTTATGTCTCACTCTGTCCTATTCTCTGTCTCTGTACCGCCTTATGTCTCACTCTGTCCCATTCTCTGTCTTTGTGGCGCCTTATGTCTCACTCTGTCCTATTCTCTGTCTCTGTGGCGCTTATGTCTCACTGTGTCCCATTCTCTGTCTCTGTACCGCCTTATGTCTCACTCTGTCCCATTCTCTGTGGCGCTTTATGTCTCACTGTGTCCCATTCTCTGTCTCTGTGGCGCTTATGCCTCACTGTGTCCCATTCTCTGTCTCTGTGGCGCTTATGTCTTACTGTGTCCCATTCTCTGTCGCTGGGCGTTTATGCCTCACTGTGTCCCATTCTCTGTCTCTGTGGCGCTTTATGTCTCACTGTGTCCCATTCTCTGTCTCTGTGGCGCCATATGTCTCACTGTGTCCCATTCTCTGTCTCTGTGGCGCCTTATGTCTCAATGTGTCCCATTCAATGTCTCTGTGGCGCTTATGTCTCACTCTGTCCCATTCTCTGTGGCGCTTTATGTCTCACTCTGTCCCATTCTCTGTCTCTGTACCGCCTTATGTCTCACTCTGTCCCATTCTCTGTCTCTGTGGCGCCTTATGCCTCACTGTGTCCCATTCTCTGTCTCTGTGGCGCTTATGTCTCACTGTGTCCCATTCTCTGTCTCTGTGGCGCCTTATGTATCACTCTGTCCCATTCTCTGTCTCTGTGGCGCCTTATGTCTCACTCTGTCCCATTCTCTGTCTCTGTGGCGCTTATGTCTCACTGTGTCCCATTCTCTGTCTCTGTGGCGCCTTATGTCTCACTCTGTCCCATTCTCTGTGGCGCTTTATGTCTCACTGTGTCCCATTCTCTGTCTCTGTGGCGCTTATGCCTCACTGTGTCCCATTCTCTGTCTCTGTGGCGCTTATGTCTTACTGTGTCCCATTCTCTGTCGCTGGGCGCTTTTGTCTCACTGTGTCCCATTCTCTGTTTCTGTGGCGCTTATGTCTCACTGTGTCCAATTCTCTGTCTCTGTGGCGCTTATGTCTCACTGTGTCCCGTTCTCTGTCTCTGTATCGCCTTATGTCTCACTCTGCCCCATTCTTTCTCCCAGATAATTTATGCCCGACAGAAGACGTCAGTAATAAATGTGAGTGGAATATTTTGACTCTAACTGGGACGACACGGGAATTCTTGAGTCTAAACTTCAAACTAGTCTCTTTGCGTGAAGAATAATTATTCACGTGAAGAGAAATGTTGACTGTCGAACTTCATGCGAAGTTCGATGAATCACGTGCCACACACAACTGCCGGCCAAATGGAAGTCGTGAGACAGAAGGGACACGGAGTATTCGATAAAAACGAAGCGGGGATTAGAAGGCTATATAATACCGTAGAAAGGGCTGAGGGGGAGTCTCGTTTGGGCCCAGGAACAGAGTGCATGGACAACAATGGAAGATGTGTGGATTCAACATGTGTTGAGTGAATTTGTTCCAGTCCAACTTGGCAAAAAAGCTGGCAGGCAAGATGTCTGCGGGCCATGTTAGTTTTTCTGTCAGGACAGCTGTTGTGTTTTCGTTCATTATGATAGTGTAGGACGATTGTGATTTCGGACAGAAGGTAATAATTGATACTTTTGATATTTGAGTTATAATGTGTGCCTGGACAGTAGTCTATTTCATGTGCCGGCTGTGTAAGCCGCGAGTAGAAGATTTAAGTGCTGAACAGTATTGTGTTGTTTTTCCAGTCGTCCATTTTCTGCTCGTCGTGTGATGTCGGTATGTGAAATAGCAAGCGTGCGATGATGCGAGCCAGATAAAAGATAAAAAGAAGTCATCGCATTATGTCTCACTGTGTCCCATTCTCTGTCTCTGTGGCGCCTTATGTCTCACTGGGTCCTATTCTCTGTCTCTGTGGCGCCTTATGTCTTACTGTGTTCCATTCTCTGTCTCTGTGGCGCCTTATGTCTCACTCTGTCCCACTCTCTGTCTCTGTGGCGCCTTATGTCTCACTCTGTCCCACTCTCTGTCTCTGTGGCGCCTTATGTCTCACTGTTTCCCCACTCTCTTTCTCTGTGGCGCCTTATGTCTCACTCTGTCCCACTCTCTGTCTCTGTGGCGCATTATGCCTCACTCTGTCCCACTGTCTCCCTTGGCCACACTCTCCATCCACCTTGCAGCATCACCCTAATAAGTGGTTAATTTAAAATACAAAAGCCATTACTGCTTGTGGGATTCTCCGTGACGTTGGCGACTAGATGCCCGCAGGAGGATCGGGAGGTCGCAGGTTCGCGTCCTGATAAAGCCAGGCTTTTTCTTTTTTTCTTTTTTCTAAAATTACGACATCCAGGTCGACCTAGCCCTGAGCGGGTGCCTAGTGCAGTCCTGGGATGTAAAGGCGGATGTGGTGCTGATAACATCACTCACCAAGTACCGAGTGGTCTATACAAATAGAGGTCTAGCCTTATATTTCCAATACGTCTGAGAGGCATGGGAAAGGGGCCTTAACTTACTTATTACTGCCCGTGTTAACCACTTGTGTGGTGTGGGCAGGCTGTATTTGAGCCTGAGGATCTAGTGCTGTCACCACGGACTGTGCAGGTTAGGATTTATTTTTGCCGCCGACAGGAAAAAGACAAATTCTAATGCCCAGTGTTCTTAACCATTCGGCCAGCCAATCCTTGGCTCCCAGCCTTGAGAAAAGGCGGCTGGCGTGATGCTGATGACAACACCCATTTTGTGCCGATTGGTCTATAAAAATATAGGTCCAGCCCTATATGCCCTATATGCTGATGGCGTGGAAAAGGGTCCTTTACTTTTACTTTACTTTTACGGCCAGCCAACAAGGTGTCAATCAACGCGGTAAAGATTGTTTTGCTTTTTCTGTTACTAAGCCAAAACTTCTTACAAACAACCTTCACGAAATCAAAAAGTATACGTCCCTTTTCCAGGCCTTAATGCGTATAGGGCATATAGGGCTAGACCTATATTTGTATAGACCAATCGGCACAAGATAGGTGATGTGGTTAGCATCACGCCGGCCGCTTTTACTTCCCGAAACTGCACTCGGTACCCACTCAAGGCTGGTAGTCATGGTCATTTTTGAAGAAAAAGTCCCGCTCCGCCAGGAAGCGAACCCACGACCTTCCGATCCACACGCGAACTTATAGCCGATACGCCACGGCGACTCCCAACCAACCCAACCTTCGACTTTTAATATAATAATAAACCAGTTTACCGTTTGATTCATCGAATGCCCACCTTTGGATCATAAAATGTCATTGTCGGAAAATGGTCGTCTAATTTCGCAGCAATCTCAGAGACGTTGAGGTATGAGGTTGCCAGTTTGATTGTTCTAAAGAGGTAGGAGGTGGGTTCCAGTGCGATCTTGCCGATACAGCAGCCGAAGTCGTAGACGCTGCCACAGTTCAAGGACACCTCGCCCATGGGGAGAGCTAGAGCAGGAGATGGTAGATGGCTGCAGAACTACAAGCTATATACGACATAATTCATGTCTGCTGTAACTTACGTGTGGATATAGCTTGTATGTAGATATACCATGTATGCGGCTTTACTTTATATGTTGATATCACTTGTACGGACATAAGAATAAGTGGATATAATATATGTTATTAAACATGTGTGGATATAAACCAATATTTGGATATAACATTATGTGGATATAACCTATGTGGTTATAATATAAGTGGATAAAACTTATATTTGGATATAAGATACGTGGCTATAAACTATATGTGAATATAACTTATCCTTGGATATAATACATAAGTGAATATGTGTTTGAGGAAATAAATTATACGTGGATATGTGTTATAATATAAAACTGTGAGTCTGGTGACTGTCACAGGATCGCCTCTAAACCGGTGACAAGCAAGATGCTGAAATTTGCAGCTGTCATTTTTGGCTGCAATGTTTAGGTTCACTGTGTAATTTGCAATAAAGTTTTTACATATTTCTGATAATTAACGCCAGTCAATAAAAGCAGTTATTTCCATTAGAAAGTACAGATTTTAACGACCTCTGTAGAATTGGTTTGGAAAAATTTCACTGTTTTCTCTCTTAATGCTTGAAGCCTGAGCAGTTACTGTCGCTTTGTCTAAAGCAGTGACAAAACAAACCGCGAAAGCACAATGGCTGGAAAAGTGTTTCCTACTGGTGGGATGCTACCGCCCCGTGAAGATGCTGGGGCGGTAGCTTCGTTGGTCTAATTTGTTCAACTGGGAGCAATGACTAAACATATGTCAGCGGTAGAGACAAAGATAAGCAGAGGACAGTAGAAAAAGTCTGTTTACTATCTCGGACGAGGCGGACTGGTGGACAGACAGACGCACAGACAGACAGACGGACGGACGGACAGACAGACGGTCGGACGGACGGACGGACGGACAGACAGACAGACGCACAGACAGACAGACGGATGGACGGACAGACAGACGGTCGGACGGACGGACAGACAGACAGACAGAAGAACAGACGGACCAGCAGACAGATATATATATATGTGTGTGTGTGTGTGTGTGTGTGTGTGTGTGTGTGTGTGTGTGTGTGTGTGTGTGTGTGTGTGTGTGTGTGTGTGAAAGCTAAAATAGAATTGTCAAAATAAAAGCACAGACCAAAGATGGCCACAACAAGGAATTATTCGCAGCGAAAAACCAAAACAAACAAGAGAGAAAATGAAGAATAATCATACAAACTACAACAACAGACGAAACCTAACAAAGAAGTACACAAAAACAACAGAAACATCACAACAAAGACAAAAACAACAGAATCATCACAACAAAGACAAAAACAACAGAATCATCACAACAAAGACAAAAACTACAGGATAATCACAACAAAGAAAAAAACAACAGAAACATCACAACAAAGACAAAAACAACAGAATCATCACAACAAAGACAAAAACAACAGAATCATCACAACAAAGACAAAAACAGAAACATCACAACAAAGACAAAAACAACAGAATCATCACAACAAAGACAAAAACAACAGAAACATCACAACAAAGACAAAAACAACAGAATCATCACGACAAAGACAAAAACAACAGACACATCTAAAGTTAACAATACATGGCGTCTAACCTAGAGCAAACTTGCTGATACCAGTTCGGTGGGGCTTGAATACGCTAAGCAAGTTCTCGAAGTAAAATCCAAGATGAATGATAGTGAATGGAATACCTAGTTTAGGCACAAGTAGAAAATACAATACATAAATAACTGAGCTGAGCATGTCCAACACACACACACACACACACGCGCATACATACGCACGCACGCACACACACACACACACACACACACACACACGGATAAAAACACGCTGCAATGATAATCACAAAGTACTAAAAATTGAGGTTTGAGGTTTAAACAACGGAATAACATCCTGGCGCATGGGTAGTAACCCATAAGTGCTCCGTTCTTCCTCTAACTCAAGTCGGAGTCCCAAGAAGCTTAGCACAGTGCACAGGTTCTGTAGCACCGGCGAGGATACTGAAATACTTTGGGTAGATTTTAAACTCTAAATTTTGACTGGGCAGCGCCGATAGGCTACTCTTTTTGATTTCCAACTGCCAAGATTTTTGTTTTTCGTGTACAACAATGCACATGGGCGTCCGATCTCACTACCCAGAGACCAGGGGAAATTACTAGAAGTCCGTGTGAAAAAAAAAATCCTAGCCCTTACCAGAGTTTGAACTCGGAACTTCTAGCACTCGAGGTAAACACCATGTCTCGAGACCAAGCAGCCTCCCCTCCCCATTTCCCAACAGAAAGTGCTATACTAAGCTCTCCTTCTTAGAGTCCGAACCGTGTGTCGTAGAGCTCCATCCATAAGATTCTGTCACGTGTAATTTCAATTAACTCTGGCACAGATGATCTTCCATAACATAAAATCAAGCATCTTCTCTCTCGGTCTCCCCTCTGCTTCTTGTCCCCCCCCCCCCCCCCCCCCCTAGCTTTCCAACTGTCACGATGTACTCTCTCTTGACGTGACTAAAGAATGTTGATTGTCTCCTTGTGATGCGGACAATCAGCTTTCTTCCGAGCCAGTGGTTTCTTTTTTTTTTCAGACATCTTCTAGACATTAAAAAAAAGAAATGTCTATGGTAATCTCATCATCGTCTATAAAACTCACGATACATGTGCTTAAACAAAAAAAAAAAATATGGTTCTCTAATCGCCCAGTTGTCCATGACTCACTTCCGTATAGTAGGATAGGATTTATATAAGTTAAAGTGAAATACCTTTCCACGCCTTTGGGCATATTGGCATATAGTGCTGGAACTTTAGTTGAGTTGAGTTGAACTGACATAACAGCACTCAGGGAATTCCCATGCATGCTCTGTCCTCATCTTCAGCAGCCAGCGCAGAGTTCCAGACCTTTTTTTTACAGACCAGTCAGCACTTAGAGAGGAATATGGTTTGGGTTTAGACTACAGATCAACATCATGGCACACGGGTAGTAACCCATATGTGCTCCGTTTTACTTCTGACTCAAGCCGGAGTCCGAAGACAATCAGCACAGTGCACGAACTCCGTAGAACCGGCGAGGATCCTGAAAAACTTTTCATGGTGGTATGGTCAGCATAACACCTGCCACCTCTACTTCCCGTGATACCACCTGGTGCTCATTCAAGGCTGGGTCGACCTGAAAGCCAATTTCAATTTGAAAACAAAAAGTCTGGTACCGCCAGCACTCGAACCCACAACATAGCAATCCACAGGCGAGCGTCTAGCCGCTTCAACACGGAAGCTCCTATATGATTTTTGTAGTTCTTAAGAATTCTTTCTCGCCTCAGTTGACAAAGAAAGATTGCATAGAATACTCTTCATTTTGTAAAATGCCGCGTTTTTTAACTTCTTTTATCTGCTGTTATCAGAGTACCAAAGTACGACTGGTTAAGTGTGTTTATAAAGGCAATGAACTATGCCAAGTGCAGTACGGTGTTATTACCTCGGGTCACGAACGCCTTTCGTCACGAATCAATTCCCCAGTAAATTTGGGAAACTCAACCCGCGAACAATGCCTCGGTCCACGAATACGCAATCGTGGCTTTGACGAAAAGTTAAGAGGAGGAAAAAAATTGGGGGGAGGAACCAACAAGAAACACCTACACAGTTTCCCGATGTTCCTATAGACTGGGAATCTCCTTCCAATGAGTAGTCTGTCACCACCTCTACCCTCCACATGTACTAGTAACTGTTAACTACAAAGGTATATTTATACTGTTTATTTTATATTATCTTGGCTCCCAGGTCGACCCAGCTTTGAGTGGGTTCCAGGAAAGTAAAGGCGGCTGGCGGGATGCTGACCACATCACCCATCTTGTGCCGATTGGTCTATAAAAATATCGGTCTAACCCTATATGCCCTATACGCCTAAAGGCGTGGAAAAGGGTCCTTTACTTTTTACTTTACTTATTTTATATATTTTTGCTAAACATAAATGCATGAAAAGTTACATCCCCCCTCCCCTTCCCCCCGCAATTCCCCTTTTTTTTTTTTTAAATTTATAGGGGAAACACTTTTTTTTGTAGATATCTTACCACCGGAAACGATGTGATTCTCAACCATTGATTTCCCTTCCAGATAGAGGCACCTTTCGCGAGCCTGGATCCTTGAGTAATCCGCCCCTATGTAAATCAAGTGTTTGACGTCATTCTCGATGGCCGCATTTATAACATTCACACCCTGTCGACAAACAGTGGACAATCATTATTTCTGCATACACTGGCGCACATAGGGTGAATGGTTCTTGTCTGAAGCAAGCTAAGGAATTTAAATATCTTGGAAATATATACATAGCTCCAGTGGACCAAGAGGCGAGGAAAAGACGCTGGCGTTGGATAGGACACACATGAGGAAAACCGGAGAACAATATAACTAGAATGTCTTTGCACTGGAACCCACAGGAGCATGGGAATAAAGGTAGGCCAAAAAACAAATGGAGAAGGGAGCTGGAGAAGGCAGCTAGAAATATGGGAAGGACGTGGGGAGAGCAACATGCGATAGCAAAATATAGTACGACGGCGTGAGCTAATCGAGGGCCTATGCTCCACTGGAGGTTGGAAAGGTCGAAGAAGAAGAAGAAGAAGAAGAAGAAGAAGAAGAAGAAGAAGAAGAAGAAGAAGAAGAAGAAGAAGAAGAAGAAGAAGAAGAAGAAGAAGAAGAAGAAGAAGAAACTGCTTCATATAGGGTGTATGGTACTTGTCTGAAGCAGGTTAAGGAATTTAAATATCTTGGAAATATATACATAGCTCCAGTGGACCAAGAGGCGAGGAAAAGACGCTGGCGTTGGATAGGACACACATGAGGAAAACCGGAGAACAATATAACTAGAATGTCTTTGCACTGGAACCCACAGGAGCATGGGAATAAAGGTAGGCCAAAAAAACAAATGGAGAAGGGAGCTGGAGAAGGAAGCTAGA